TTTCATTGACCTTGAGAGTTGATTTAGAGAGCAGAGGAGGGGCAGTAATGAGGCTCACTTGAGAAACACACAATAATGTTTCACACTGACAAGGCCCCAGCCTCCAGATATTAACACCCGACAGAATCAATCGCATGCAAGAATTAATCCAGGAGATTTCTTTGTCTCCTTTAACCCTTTTATGGTGACCAGCAATGATGGATATGTCAAGCCTTTCTCTCTCAAAATATCACCATTTCATCTCTTGATTAAATTTTTAGACTTCTTTGATGATGATCTTTTGCTCCTGACTGTAAATGGGCAACCCAAGCAAATATAGATTTGCTATCTTAGGCTAAGAAGAATGCACAAAGGTCAAAGCAACTTCAGAACAAGGGTAACAGGCATCCAGTTCACTGCAAATTAAATGAGGTTGATGAAGATGTTCAGATCGTTTCTCCACCACCACTAACTTATATTTAAATCTGCACCATGCACAAGAATTAAATCAACGCTTAGCCAAAGCAGCAAGGAGCAATCGGCAGTGAATGCTAAAGAATAATTATTTATTGCAGTAATAATGACCAGTATGACAGACTCAACAATATGGATGCAGTGTCCCATTATTTCATCAAGCCCAGCAAAGATACGGCCAAAGTCAATTTCAGATGAAAAACCTTTGCTTCATATAAACCCACGAAACACCCCTTGGCTTTGTTAATTCCTACCTTGTGACAATGTGGCCTTGGATTTATATCTTGTTTAACGGCTTCCAAATACCTTTATAATGTGATCAGGAAGCAATAATGTTACATGATAGCATAACATCACTTTATTGGCCATATACAATTTCTTGCATTAGGAATTTGTCTTTTCGCATACCCCAGCTTGCTCTCCATGAGACACAGACAGACAGACAGGGAGAGAGAAGCCTGGGGTCAGGGTGCGGGGTCAGCCATTGTACGGCACCCCTGGAGCAGCTGGGGTTAAGGGCCTTGCTCAGGGACCCAACAGAGTAGGATTTTGACAGCAGCTGGCTGAGAATAAAAAACATTTCTAAAATACCAAAATGACCTGGTTGGAATGCTTCCAACATCACACAACACAATCAATACACTTCATACTGGTGGGTGCCATCTCTTAAGTGCTTTACAATGAGTTATGCAACATGAGGTCACAGAAAAAGAGGTACACTCTAAAAAATCAACACAGTACGTCAAATGTCAAGGACTCAATAAAAAAAGCACTTCCAAAAATCAAGCATTTTCAAGAAGCATATGAACATCTGCTAGGTTTTTTTTCTAAGCATGGCTAAAACACAAAAAACATCTCAGAATGGTTTGCTAAACAGGTAAACCAGCCCCCAAAACAATGAGTCTGTGTGAAAGACTGTACATTGAAAGAAAGAACAGATTGAGTGAAGTAGGCTCCAAATACTTTTGCAATCTATGATGGATACCAACTCAAAGCATACAAAGTCATGAGTAAGATCTGATAAGCGCATCACCAGGGCCTGCATCATAGTAACTCACCAAGTTCCAAAGTAAGTGTGTGACAGAGCTGAAACAGCGCCCCTTTGTCAGCTATCTTAGTGAGTAGTGAAGAAACAGGGAGTCACACTTCCACAAAGAAACAAAGTCTGGAACATGATCACCTGACTCTTTTCAAGGAGCAGCTGGATGAGGCCCTCAGATCAATCAGTGACTACCAGGAAGCAAACAAGAAACAGTACATGACCTCAGTGGACACGTGTCATCCATAATCTCTCTTCCCTTCTTATGTTTGTAACTCTTTATGGAGTAGCATCTTTAAATTCAGCCCTAAGCCCTAAAATACAAGAATCTGCATGAAATTAAATGTAAACAAGTCCATCTAAACCCTATGGTGTCCATGTATTTGCTACATCACTCTGCTTTTTCCCTTTTATTTTCTACTAAAAGACTGACAGTGACAACGGCGTAAGATCATAAGAAAGAATTGGAAAAAAAGGAACCCTGCTTTGGTTGGTAGAAGATAATTGATCCAATGATCTCAGCCAGACATTTCCTGAAAGAAGCCAAAGAAGCTTTTTTCAGACTCCAATTAGAAAAAAAAGACTGGATATTTGATCAATTATCCTTTTCATCTATACAGAAATGATCCACCATTAAGCACGTTTGTTATATAAGGGACAGTGGAGCTTGTCCTCCTGATTTACTCCTTTCCTGTGCCCTGAAGAGATTTATGACTTTTATTGTCCCTGCTTTCTTTCAACAATTGAATAGTTGGTCACTCTAATAAAGGCAGCTTTATTCAAATGCCTTTTGATGTGTCTAACACAGGAACTCCCCAATAAAGTATAAGCACAATCACAACATATTCTCCTAGATTATACCTGCATATAGTCAGAAACAGGAGATTTTCATTCACCAAACCGAAAGATCCTGCTCTGACATCTCCAATATATCCAATTCTGTATTACATCTGACTAAAATGACACAGCATTATAACTTTAGAACAAGACTGCCCAGTCCTGGTCCTGCATGATCTTCTGGGTTACTTTAAAGCTAAAACACCTTATGAGTTAGGAGAAGCTGCTGAATGGGTCCAATTAATTCAGTAGCTAGCTGATTTCACTAGCTAACCTGCACCAGCACTCCAAGATCAGGATTAGACATCCCTGCTTTAGCACAGAACATTCCTGTGAGGTTCTCTGTTTGACAATCATAGGCACAGGACAGCAGAGTGCTGCCCTCTGTTGGATTAGATAAGAATAACACTTTTCCTAAAAGACCCCTGTTGGAAGCGTTTTGTAATTCTCCTTTTTATAATAACTGTTTGCTTTTGTGAAAAGCTGACAAGTTAACAAATACAACAACAATAAAGTAGAGTACTACTGTTTCAATTACACTGTTTATGTAACTTAACCTCAACTGAGCAAATGCATCCTTAAAGCATGATTAACATCAGCAAAGCGTTTGAGGAAATAAAGAAATATTATGTCCTCCTTGCAAGCTTTACAAAGCTGTCCTGCTGTGGCTTGATAACAATCAGCAGCTTTATTGCAATGAATTATAATTCAAAGCATACATCCCCTGTACAAACGTTTTTTTTCTTTATTCCAAATGTTCAAAAACATTATTTTTAGTTAATATCTTTATGAATCCTGATGTATTAAAGCAGTACTGTTCCCCAGACTTCAGTATTAATACTTGTGTGATCCCGGAACAAATTCTGTTTTTCATCATCTGATCTACCTGGAAAAAGAGATAACAGCACAGAGGCGCTGTGGAAAAAGTACTGTTTTCAACTGTTTTAGCAGTTCCTAAACAGAATGCCAGTTCCTGGGTTTTTGGTTGTTTCATAACACACATTATAATCATCGTCCCTTTTCATGCTGTGGCTAGCTATCTACAAAATTGGAAATACAGTAATTCTCCTTCACATTAATATAGGTGAAAAGAGCACTGTTCATTTTACTGACCTCTTCTAAGAACTTTGAACCGCTATTCTTTATAGCCTGAGGGGCTGTCTCCAAACGTTCAACCACTAGGAATAGGACCTAATGCCTTATGAATAACTGCCATGAGAACTGGGTTTAACTCCACCACTTACTGCAATGTAATGTCTGTAGAGAGACCTACCAGCATGCAGTATGCAAGTTCAACCGTGCTCATGAAGTGAGTGAGTACTACCATTGAGAAAAGAGCTGTGATTGCAAAGAACACGAAACAAGAAGAGGGCATATCCATCAGGTTTGATCTATATAGCCGATCGATTTGTTCCAATGAAGTTAGGCATGGCCTCACTGTCCAATCCTTCAAAGCTACAGTATGTACTGTATATTTAATGGCCGCCCAATATCAAAGGAAGCTGAACAACCAATTTAAAAAAGAATACTTGTTAAGCTTTGAGAACAGGAAGCGGTTCTTTTAGTGAGAAACCTACCATTTTGTTTCTGCTTTCCTACGAGGGGAAAATGATGCCAGGCAGTTCCAAAGGAAATGTAAAAGTCCAGAGAGGAATGCTGCAGCCTGGCTTTGAATTCTATTCCAGCAGTAACAAACCCCACTGCTCTACACTGAGGTACAGTATACAAGCCTGAGCTGGCCTACTGATGAAGCACTGTGCCCCCTTCATTACATTACAAATCTGCTGTTAGCCTTCCTAGCATTCCCAATTTTAACCATAAAACAAATATAAACTCTACAGCAACAATGTATCCAATGATGTAAAAGACAGATCCATTCATGTAAAATAAATCCCTTCATTTTACACAAACTACTTTAGGCATTTACCAGTTCAAACAATGGATTCTTATTAACTTTTCACTGGTTTTTAAATTTAACCAACTGAACTACTGCTAAGATGAGACAAAAATGTGAGAAAAAGATATGGGTCCTTCTCTGCATTATATTTAAAATCTCTGAACTAAGACATTTAATCCAATCTAAACCCTAATGTTGATCGTAAGGTGTGGTAACCTCAAACAACAGCTGTATGGAAGGAGGTCATGGACAAGTAGGTTACTTCCATGTAAAACAAGTGCTTAAATTAAATTATAATCCAACCTGTTCCCTTGAGTCCCCCACCACCATCACACCCATCCATAAGTCTCTATCTGTTTTGAGCTCTTAAGTGCAAGGCAGCATAAATGGAGGACGTGATTTCCAAATCAACAGTAAAACACAGAAATTGGCACAACTGGCTGGGCGACACTGAGTGTAGGATGGAATTAGTCTGGCAGGGACCCCAGCAGGCAACCAAGGAACTTGCAGGCACGCAGTGCTGTCGGTGAAGAATGCACCTCTCCTCCAATCAGCCACGAACCTGCGGTACAGGGCTGTGGTGCCTGTGACACGCTACAATACACGTGGCTTGAGGTTCTGCCTATATTTCCCCATGATCCCTATACGCGGTCGCGGCGCTGAGAGCCGAGATGTGAAAAACACACAGTTCCAGAATTCACCCGGGGATAATAATAAGAACTGGCAATTCTAAATGTTGTGAAAAATAAAAAAACCCTTCCTTCTGGCTCTTACCTGCACGGTTCCAAAATCAACGTTTTCATAGTGGAAATGGGCACATTCAGCCAGCTTTGGAAAATGTCCCTTTGTAAAAGACAGCCTGAAAAACAAGACATACAATAATTGCAAAACATAAGACTTCTTCTTAACATTCCGTTCTTTAGTATGGATGGAGCCCCAGCACACAAGATCAGATATTGTTACTGACTGCTCTTGTCATTTTAATTTCAGTATAAGCCTGAATCAGGTTCTGGTTTTAAAAGCATATGCAGTAAAAGACTGAATACAGAAGAATTAAACTTACATGATGAAAAAAACAACTCAACACGTCTGTTCTTAACAGTCTTGGGAAACATTCAATAACTTCCAAGTTCATCTGCTTTGCATGCTGTGTGTTGCTGGAGTATTTAACTTTCAAAGGCGTTGTCAAATAAAGAACCTGTCTTTCCGAATTCACTGTTACATCAGCTCTGCGAAAAGCTCCCAAAGGTGCCCTTTAAATTGCAGGCCAATATTGAAGTAGATATCTTCCTGTGTATACTGTTACTGTTTCAAATTCCTAACCAAAAGTAGGAGATAACTTTTTTGGTAAATTGTACATCACTGTACAAACTGGAATGTGGTTCTGAAGCTAGGTGTGGAAATAAAACACGTGTAGAACAATAGGAAATGTAACGACCCATCTTTATTGACATGCCCTGGGAGCTGAAATGATGGCAGTGATGCACAGTGCTTGCTCTCCACTCACAAGATTCTACTCTATTTTACTCCCCTTTACTTTAAATCTGAAAAACTGTAGTGACAGCTACAGACTTTCTATCGGCTATGGATGAGTTTGAGAGATAGAGACAAATTTCACCTGGTCCAATAACATGAGAGATCCCAACACAGATACTTCTCTACAGATCCAGTAGGTCAAGGAGGCACTCACACAAGCTACTGGCCGTGTGAGTAAGTGCACACTTGCTACACGATTACTTTGAACTGAATAACTCCCAATTAAAAATAACATACTGTACCCCAAAGCATTCTCTGAGATTAAATGAAAACATATTATGATGCCATCCAGCAAAATCACCTAGAAGGACTTTCACTTGCTGATCCTCTTTAGCAATTCAGTTCTACTGAATGGCAGCCCAGTAGACAACACTTAGATGTAATCTGAAACCATACACATTTGAGCTGGTCTATTTGCATTAAGGTTGGACTAAAAAACAAAGCTTCTTTAGAGTGAATACTATGAATGCACTCAAGAGCTCCTATGTGATTAAGAGCTGTATGGATGACCTACATGAGCAAATGTTACAGACTTGACTGGTACTGCAGTGCAGTGCACAGTAATGTTTTCTACTGCAGTGCATGCTGTTGTACTATATTGTAATGCAGGGCATTCTTTTATGCTGTACTGAAGAGCAGCACACTGTACTAGATGCATCTTCTATTGCATTACATGGCACTTTAGAAAACGCTGACTTACTTTTTGACATTTTTCACCTTCATGCTGGCGGTGCTGCCGCAGGATCGTAGCGGGGGATCTACTGACAGCTCGGGTATCTCTGCACTCCTCGCCTGTCCACACACACAGACACAGACGCGCACAGACAGCGATTAGCAAAGAGCACTCCGTCAGCACCACTTCTGAAACTCCTTTCTGCCTGCCTGCTGAGAACTAAAACCCCCAGAACTGGGAAGACAGTCAAAGGGAGAAGGGTGGGGTGACATATGCATCTGCAAAAGGACTCTGGGGACCCAGGCTGAGAACAAGTAGACAACAGTCACTAGATGAAAGAAAAAAAAGAAAAGGGGAAAGAAAGAAGAGCAGGAAATGATACAGTCAATCTGAAATTTTATACTGCAAATCTGGCAAAGACTAAAGATTATCTTCAGCAGTCCTCACAGTGAATACGCATATCTTTATCTGCTTACATACTATGATAAAAGATGTCAGCCCTGAAGAATCCTTTCATTACACAATTTCATAATGACATATTGAAGAAATGACACTTGAGTTTCGAAACGTGGATTTTGAAAAATTTGCCCCATTTTGAGTCCAACTTCTCTGCTCAGCGCTGAGATTTTAAAGTCGCACTCAGGAGGGAAAACAGATCTTTAAGGTCTCTCAGAGGCCAAGCGTATAAGTCACGTCAATGCTTATTCAAGCCAATGTTTTTACACAGGAATTTCACCCCCTAAAAATTCCAATGTTCACCATAAAATAAAAGAGCTCCTCGCAAAAGCTTGTTGAAAACCTCAGTTCTCAAGATGGAGGATTACAACAAAGTGGGATTTTGTTAACTATTTCTGGTTAACTATAGTACCAAGAGAAAAGCCTATTTGAATACATATTTCTATACATAACAAGGAAAATTAATGCTTCCTCTCCCACAAGGAGGCATAGCAAGATCCTCTCTTGTGAAATACACTGCCTTCTTTCTAATTCATTTTCATTCTTTCTAATTTTCTGTAGGTTCTGGGTACTTCTCGTAAAGTGTGCTCTATTTGCCTACATTTTTAAACCAAACAAGTATATAATCAGAGATGCCTCCGCACCTTTTCAAGGTTTTGTTGCCTTTTATGCTTGTGAATCCAATGTGTCATTCTGTGTCATGATGTGTCATCATACTCTAGAAATATGACTTGGACAATCTTACAGAAGAAAAAAAAAAGATTTGCTGAGATTTGTGAAAAAGATTTGTGAGTACTGCCCTCATTGCACAATTAGCCTACGTGTACAAAGACACAGAAGGTGAGAAGTGGAGTTATAGACCTTTCCTGAAGTGACTTTGTTCATTTTCACTATCTTCTAGGTCAGACATTAATGTGCTGATTAAATAATCTTTCAAGTCTGCATGACTTTTTTTATGACATGCTGTTAAAGAAAACATTGGTGAAAGCATTAAACACATAAAAACATTAAAATGGCTGTATTTAAAAGTCAATATTTTTCCAATTTGTAAATAGGCTTCAAATAATCAATGAGCCGTGCTCATCTTTGCTTACCAACATTCAACAGAAGGTGGCAGTATCTGGATACATCTCGAGAAAGAAAAATGAAATATTGATGTTTTGATCCCTATTTTGTTCTCTCTCTTTGTATGCTTATCTTACAATTGCATTTCAGTGCCAGTTCATTTTGTTTTAGTTTACTCACTAAAGAACGATTTTTGGAAGAATGCCTCATTCACAGTGCATATCTCTCAGAATGGCCTCTATTCTGAATGTATACCAATGTTGATGCCAGTAATGCTTAAAAAACAAGATAAGGTGGTTGTCATAGTGACCAGTTAATTCCAGTAAAGTATTCACCAGTGATCTGTAAATAACACTGACATGACAAGGAAATCAAACCCCTCTATTTTCAGGGAGGAGAAAAGAAGTGAACTTATGGTCCATTCCAAAAATATAACACATCTTTATTGAATTGTTGTATTTATTACTCTTGTGTAAACCCTATTTTTTATCGGTAATTTGTTCATTCTTGAGTCATTGGAACACTTCTATTTTCTTCTCAGAAATAGAAAAATCCTAACTTACAGCTTACAATACTTACAACACGATAAGGGAATAGTTATAATTCCGAGGATATTTATGGTTCAGGGCAAAAATAAAAAAGGTAGCTAAGCTACACGCCTGAAAATAAAGGACAGTAAAGAGGGACAAATATTTTACACAAGAATTCTCTCTGTTTTAGTGTCTGACAAAGACACTAATTTGAAATTTTGTTTGATCATTCATGTAAGAAAAACAGAAAGCTACTTCCATTGGTGAAATAAAACAATACATTTCTTATCTGTGAGTTATTTAATACTAAAGCAGGTAAGGATTACTCTTCTAGGGCAGATTCTAACCTCGTGAGAACAAGTGACATGATTCCCAAGAGCTTTTCCTACGTTTTCTAAAGTACAACATTCACAGACTTCTTTAAAAATAACAGTTTGTGTTTCTTCTAAACGGCGCACATAGCATGCGGGTGTGGGGGTGGGGTCCAAAGAAAAATGTCACCTGAACAGTTTCATCTTTTTTTATCCCTTATTATAAGAATCAAAAGCCCACAGGTAAGAGATGGCCTACTTTATTTCTTTCAAGTTGTTCCATGTACCCCCCTCTTGAGGACTCTTCTAAAGTTAGTTAACCTCTGTTACTAACCAGCTGTTACTAGAAACAGAGCAGAAGGGAAATCTGGAACGTAAGCAAATCGTAAACACCTTCCCATGATCCTAAACAACAGCAACAGTGGCAATTAACACCACCATCGTCCAACAGAGGATAACTGCAAGCTTTGCTGGCCACATGGATGGTTCCCCATTTCCTTAATGTGAGTATGGACCAATCCCTACCATTGCACTGATGGTTTCCTCCCAGTCCGGCCTTTCTCTGGGGTGGATACTCCTGGTCAGCTCGGGAACAATGTCATCTTCCTCCGAGAGAAGACAAGGCCTCAGACCCCTGGAACATCTCCCAGGGAGAAAGAAAACAGATCTTTCAGCCACCTAGACACATGCAAGGCATCCGCACGTTGGGAAGGATATGTCCTATATCCAGCAACGAGTAAGAAGGCAGTATTCTCAGTTATGCTTTACTTTGCTGTTGCTTTTGAGGCAAAACATTCCTGTGCTGTTTTACACGTGAGCTGAAACAAACAGACAAGGTAATAAACAAAAAAACTATACCATTTGATGAAAACGGATGCATTGAGTATAAATACTGAAGGAAGCAGCAATAAAAAAAGATTAAGAAGGAATAACCAGTTTTCAAGTAATACCTGAATTCTGTGACCACATCAAGATTTCTAAAGTCTACAATTGTCAATTTCTGGAAAGCATGTCAAGGTGTAGGCGGGACTAATTTAGCCATTTAAAGAAAAAAAACAACTGCAAAACTGCACTATCGGACTGAAAAAAAAAATTGAAAATGGACGATGTGAAATGTCTTGTTCTCACAAAAGCCACCCAAGACTGTTTTTATACTACTATAATATTAGAGAAAACAATTTCTTTCAGATTTTTGTTATTGCTTCTTATGTTTCACAAGGGATGTTTTCAGAGTGTACATTTGTACACTGTGCCTCATTCGTCGATCTTACAACATTTTGTAGGGCTTAGATTTTATAAGAAATAGTTTTTTTATTTAGCTGAGGTTTTCAAATCAATTATCACCTCTTAATAAGTTCCTTAATAAGAAATATATATTAATTGTTTAGCAGCACACAAAAAAAAGCAAAGGGGCTGAGAGAGCTTATATCGGCAAGAATGTTACAGGATCACTAATCAAAGTTTCCCTAAGGGCCGTATGAGTAGACATTGGGAGAAATTCACATTCTTGCTAGTCACTCGTCCAGGGGTAATGGACAGCCAGGAGAACATGATGTCATTAAAACATTGATGAGCTTGTTGGCGACTCTTAAATTTCATCTGTTCATCTCCTAAAGTGGAGCCAAGGACAGTGCTACTGTATAATCAAATCTAAAGTGCATGTCAGTCTGAGTATTTACAATTGTCACTGAACACAAAATGCTGACAATACCTGGACAAAATGCTAATGTTAGCCTCGTGACCTTCATTTTCAAAATAAATGATGTATTTCTGTAAAACCATATTTCAAATCAGTTTCTGTACCCACTTTCATATTTCTGCGAGTCTGATCATTTTTGTCCTGTGAAAAATGGCTGGTAAGGCAAAGGGTGAAAACAAAGGTAAGATTACATTTGAAATCTATCAAAATGATTATGTTTTTTTAGATAATCCCAAGGAAACATCTCTTTGTTTCTTTGTAATGTAAATGTAAACATCTCATTAAACACAGGCAACAATCACAGCTTGTAAATCAACAGCTACCACTAATTTCCTGAAAAAACAAAATAAAAAGCAGTAAACAATCCCGACAAAACATTTCTTGTAGCAGAGATTTATTGTTATGGACATTTTCTTCTAAGATAGAGTGAACGTCATGAATGTTATAATAGTAATTTATTATTATTTATGAATTCAAAAACAAATAACATCTGCTGAAAGAAAATACCAACATTTAGAAACAAAATATATGGGAAATGAATGACCTCCTGTTTGTTCAGCAGTAGTAGATCTAATCTGGCATGCATAGTGAGACTTTCTCTTGTGTAACCCAATAAAATGAAATTCTTCTTCATGGTCCTGGATCACTCCACTAGTGAGGGAGACCATGATAGGAGTTTCTTCTCCTGATTTAAAAACAAAACTGTATGAAACATCCAGTTCAGAACTGCCAGTGCAAACTCAAATGCTGAGAGGACACTGTCTTCTCTGACATGAGGTTCTACAGTTCCAAAGTGTTTGCATCCACTGTGGCATTAAAGGTCTGTGAATAACAGGTGAAAACTCTTGCTCACAATCTACACCACAGATACTGCATATTCATCAATATGTATTTATTCCTTTGACTTTGATACCTCATCTATTTGTCAGATTCCAGAAACCAACAGAACCACAGGATTAGACCTAGTTTAATCAGTGTTTTGAAATGGAGGATTCTTATGCTGACCGAAGAGAAAACAGAAGAAAAGGAAACAGCAGTTGTCATATGAAAATCAGATAAATAACAATGGTGCTTCAAATTCATTGAAAATAACCAGTAACAAATGGATTGCACAGCCTTTCATCCTGAGATTGCTCACAGGTTTAAGCACAGTTCAGTAATCTGAGTTGAAAACTGTGGAATGCTAGAGAGCCAGAGAAGTTTTTTTTCTGTTCACTTTCCCATTGAAAATCCAAGGTCAGCTAAAAAAAGCATTTCTCTCACTTTTGTGATCATGCAGTAATTAACACAGTCAATATTGTTCTTAGGTCTATTACCTAAACTTTTATTTGCCCCAAGAATAAAAAGGGGATTTTTACCTGAACTCTCATTCACATACCCCTCCAAGGGTATTTATACATGTCCGACCTCAAACTGTCATCACCACCAGAGCAGCAGAACTGCAATGTTTGCATCCCTAATCAATTGCAACAGAGCAGCAAGCAGCTGTTGACCCAGAAAACAGTGTGAGGCAACATTAGAGAAGCTCCTAAGTTTCTGTGAACAACGGCATCAGGGTGAATCAGGTAGACAAGACAGATGGGCTGATCTGCGCTGACAACGTGTAGCACATGATCGCAAGTCTCTTACATCATCAGCTCTTACAGCAAAGCAGGGTTTTTTTTTAATTTCTTGTAAAACCAACATTTATCTTTTGGGCTGCTGAGAAAAGGAGGAAAAATCCTTGCTTAATCCAGAGAAGACAAAATAGAGATATTGCACACAATTTATCAACAGACAAAATATACTCCTCTGCACAGCAAGCTGCTGTATGCTTATGTTTATATCCTGCTTATTCATTCATTTTAACTGCCATGTCTTATTCATTTATTCATGTATTAGCTCAGTTTATTGCTTTTATTACTCCACTTCGACAAGGATAATCAAAAAGGATGCCTGTAGAAAAGGTATTATCCACAACCCAGCAGCCATAAACCAGGCTACACTAAATAATCAGGAGCGTTTGGAAGAGGAAAGCACAGGATTGCAATTGACTGCATCCTATTAGAATAATTCTCCGTCGGGGGTGGGGGTGGGGTGCCCTGTTCTGTCATAGGAGTGAAAATCAGTCAGTTTTTACAAAAGCTCGCTGTCTATGATTGGTCCCAGGAGAGGTTATTAAGCAGACCCGGGCAATAAAGGTCGTTAGGACAGTTAATAAATCACAGAGGACTGCCTGTAAATCTTATCAGCAAGCTGGTGGTAATTATCTTGCCAAAGCTTACAGATGGGACAGCTTGAGGGAAAACGTCAAAAACGCAGGGACAGGCTTACCAAAAAGTGTCCTGCACCTGCACAGCGCTCCTGACCTTGAGACTAAATGATCCTTTTTGCATGCTGAAAGTTTGTTTGGCACAAGATATACGGTACAATAATCACCCACCAACTTGAGACGGCGAAGAGTATGTTGTCTTCGGTAAGCGTCACCAGAAGAGGGACAGAAACGAGTAAAAGGAAGAAAGAAGGTGTGCAACTTCATATTTAATCACATGAAAACCAGTACCACTATTCCAATACCACTTATTATTTGCATTGTTATAGATTTTAGCTTGAGCACAAAATAAACTTATCTCTTCTGTAAACAATGTCTCCCTTTATTATACAGCTTACCTTTCCCTACAGTAAGATTTCCTAACTCTTTCCGCCATTCCATCAGTTCCCGCCTGTTTCTATTGGCTATCTTATTGCAGTTAAGAAGTTAAGGAGGCTGCAAGCTTAATCTCCATTCACTGAGCTGCGCAATAAACCTCAGCATCTATCTTTCCCTCACGTCTGCTGATACTCTCCCCCATACCCTGCAGCAATGGAGGCTCGCTGAGGAACTGCTGTTTCCACGTGTCAAAAACGCTCTGCTGAATGAAATGTCACCCATCCAGTATTTTAAAACTACCGTGCAAATCATCTTCAGTCCCATCTGCACAGGTTTTCTGGGTCACGTTTAGTTCATTTTGTTTATATGCACAGTACTAGAGCCTCAGGAGGTGGTGCAGCTAAACAATCCCATGGGATTGTCTTCTCATTTTGTAGCAAATGGTATTAATCAGGTGTGCATATTACGTGAAGTGAGGGGCAGAAAACATATGAATTTGCATGAATGCACAGCCTGTTATACTGTATGTGTCTATAAGCAGTGAACAGTCTTAACCTTTACCAAGCCATAGATCTGCACTATATATTAAAGGTGAATAGCTAGTATCACATCATCTTTTAGCTTTGCAGGATGTAACATTCATTTTGTAACTTTTAACTGCCAGTAGAAATGGTGCTGTGCTTGGTAAGGAAAGGCTGTTTTGTAAAAACCTTTTTCTCGTTTTTAAGAGCCGAAACATTTGAAATCAAAAGGTGAAGTAAATGAAGTAAATGACGCGGCATTTTGCCTTACAGATCACAGCTAAAGAAGAAACAAGATGTAAGAAAAATGCATTGTGGTTTTCTTATTAGGTTCATCTGTTTTCTTTTCCCAGAAAATACACAGAATAGGGGGTTGTGCTCAAAAACAGACACACAATGACTACACATTTATTGTGCACTAACAAGAGCACTTCCAGGCTTACACGTGAGACATAGCTCACCACAGAATTACGTGTGGTTTACTGTTCAAGTCATTTACATATAATTAATAATGTTGATAACCACACATCTATTCAAATGATCTCGCCGAATACCTGCCACGGAGAAGACCAGCAAAGAGGATTCAGTAAAAGGTGATAAATTTACAGTGTGTCTCAGTATGTGGTAAGACTGGAATACTAAAACCAGGCAGTGCTCATAAATTCACAGCAGCAAGTGGGAAAGATGGAGGTGGCCTTGTGTCACAAAACTAGAAGGAGCAAACGAAGGAACACAAACAACTGTTCTGCTGGAGTTCGCCTCCTGGTGTGCACTGGTGTTTAATGTTGTATTACTGTTTGGAATTCTTCCTCATTAAAAAAGTGGGAAGAGCTTAAGGAAGAGCAGAGAGAGGGAAAAGAACATTTACAACCCAGAAGACGTAAAGGTCTGTGTATAAAGTACGTAACAGAATGAAAATGAAAAAAGTGGAACATATCCATTGAGTTTAATACCAATTTCTTACAGTGCAATTTATTCACATGCTCAAGAATTCTAAATTTTTAAGAAAAAACAGAACAAAAATGAGAAGGCCAAATGATACTGTAAACACAGGGAAAACCAGTAATATAACCTGCTGCCTCTGGCTGGTATTGAGCACTAGATTAATCAAAACGCACCTGTTTGTTACTTTCATACTCACTTACTTACTCCCCTGTTCGTTTCAGAACTCACATTTCAGTTGCCATTTCCCACATATCAGATATTAGCAAGGAAATGTATATACTCACATTATTTATGTACACCGTTATCTGTCATTAAAGATCCCCGGGCATTTCTCGATAAGAGTAGGGAGTTCTCCTGGTGTCTGGGCCTAATTTCCCTACCTCGGTCTTTCCCTACCGTGGCCTCCAAATTGTCCCCATGTATGATTGGCTTGCACTTGCCCTGTGATGGACTGGCGTCCTGTCCAGGGTGTACCCTCCCTTGCGCTCGTTGCTTGCCGGGTAGTTTCCAGCTTCCCGCGACACCGTATGGTATAAAGCGGTTTGGTAAATGATGTGACATGACATAAATGTACACCGTTATCTCACACAATATAAGAAAAACTACCTACAGCAATTATTGCATTCAGTGCCCCCAACAAACCAGTAAGGAATGGAAATGTACTTGCTTTTAGCAAATGATGCCATAAGGATTCACTCTTCTAAAGAAAAAAGACTCAAGATATGAACCCTACATGGTAATAAGCACAGTGACAAGAGGAATTGACAAAATCTATTTAAAAAAAATAAAAATCCTGTGTGAGAATGTGTGCTGCTCCCTTGACTGCAAATGATACACGGTTATGATGAAAACCAACTGTGCAGGCAAGCCCCTCGGGGGTTTATTTTGAATTTTTGTCATTGTTGGAGGAGTCAGTGAGTGTAAAGATCCAACTGAAGCAAGCTGGAGCCCCCCAGGCAGTGAAGAGGCGGAAGAGGACCGCGGCTGGGGAGACGAAAAACCTTCGGGAGGGCGAAATCTTGTGGCAGCTCTGCCTCGTCCAGACACGGGAGGTATCCTGAACCCCAGTGTGAAACCCCCCCAGCTCCAAGAGACCCCCTCAAGAGTTACTGCCAAGGTCCAGAGCTGCTTCGTGTTCCAGTACCCTGGCAGACACACTCTGGCTTCCAGGATTTACATTTTACGCCTTCATCCCAGTTACTGGGACCTCATCCAGGATGTAATCTCACCCTGAGCCCTGTGCTTCCGAGATAAGCATCACAACAGCCCAGAGCCGACCGGGAATAAGCACCTTTCTGATGCGCACAACACAGAACAGGCAACAGGACCACCTTAACCTTTACCGTGACCAAGATAGCAAGAGTATGTTCATGTTTTGGCAGTACATTCCACATCTTTGGTATCATTCCCAGTTCCTCAAAATCTTAGGGCAAATCCAAGTCTTTAGATCGATAAGGGAGGACAAAAGCTGTTTTGATGTTTCCATTCAGTGCTTGATATCGGCTCACTTTCAAACTTGTGCATGTCTCTTAATAATACATACTGTAGCTATCATCAGGTTTTCCTTAATAATATAGTGGTTGATGTCATCTATATTGTACATTCCATAGGCACTTGAGAGAACTGTATTACCTCAGTAATAACTGAAGCTGTTCAAGCAATATATCCAGTATTTTGCAGCTAGTGAACTATTATACATAAGTGGTTTATTTATACATTTTAAAAAGTTGTTTTATGTATATAGGGTGCTTAGATGTGGCTTCTAAATGCATTTACTCCAGTAAGAAATTTGCTTTCACAGAAGGGATCTAAGCCAGTTACAAATCAAATGCAGACAGAAGCAAAAAATGTGAATTATAATGATAGCTATATTTATTTTGAATCCAGCTCTTTTTTTCCCTTAAATTCAAGAGAGCAACGGGTGATTGATTTCACTGCAGGTCAGTTTTAAAAATCTGAGGGGTGGCTAAGGATCTGCTAGCTATTCATCTCCCCTGTAGTGCCTTATCTTCTTACTCCACTTCACGGTTACAGCCCTCTTAATTAGAAGCATATCTTTACTGTGTTCTTTCAGCAGGACGATCGATATGTTAATGAATGCTGAACAAGAAGGTAGATGTGGCCAGAAATTAATTTAAAGAATAAATCAACGAAACGTGAGAACCGGTGTGTCCGAAATGCCCTCTGAGCTGGAAATGAAGTACAACCTACAGTACCTGAACCAACGCAGGAGAGGTGAGCTGGACACCATGTGGAGAGTGGACTCCCAAGTGAACAGCTCGTGTGCTTGAAGAACGTGCTGGACAGTTTATTTTGAACAAGTTTGCATTTAATTTTATTTCCTCCCACTCTGTCAAATCAAAGAAATACTGTGTTTTAGTTTGGGTAGAAAGTCCAAAATGATTTGTTCACCTAGACTGGTAATAAGCAACACTCTGGACTAGTCTGGACTAGAATCTGACTCTTTCAACTAAAGGCAAACTTAATTTAAAACCTCGCAGATCACAACCAAAAAAGTGGATGAATTTTGGATATAAGACTATGAAAACATAGTAGCTAGAGGCTCGTGAACTCTTTGCCATCCCTAATGATGCAGCTTTTACAATCATTTACACTGTATTTTGATCTTTCAGAAGCGGCACTGGGTGATTCACAAAAGAAAAACTTCCGAGCGATTCTAAATCTTTGGTGCGCGGGGTATAAGAAACTGCCTCATTCAAGAAGGGCAATGTTTGAACTACAAATTCCTTAATACTGCACTGAAAACACCTACTGTTCGTCCCATGAAAAAAAAACAGCACATCTATCAATGAATGCCTGTTACATTGTTAAACCTGTTGCTTGGAAACCTACGTCATCCCTGATAACCAATTGTTACCCAACCACTTGCTCCCAAGGAATACTGCAGATTACTCTATAGAAAAAGGCAAGCTCAGCCCTGTGTTGTGAGAATGCTTTCATTGGCCTCTATTTACCGAAAGCATCACCCATTCCTGTGGGAATACAGTTGCCAGCTAGCTCAGAGGTGCTGCAGAGCTTGCTTGTTTAATCCCAGCACAAAGTGTCAGTTCCCATACTTGGCCCCAGACACAATCTTGTTCTACTGCTCTGTCTGCTCTTGGACTGGCATTAACATGAACCTGCTGCTTGTCTGATTAGTTATTGAGCATGCAAAATTAGTTTCTATTTTGAAGTCCCGATAAAATAATTTTTGCATCAATGCAGTGAGCAGTGCAAATGTTACTCTCAAATTGGTAACTGAAATTTTGAACAGAATAAAACATTTGACCACTTTTGCTAGAATTCAGCACTAATGCATTATTAAATCATGCTTATTGCACCAAGCACAGAGGACTGCAGGCCTTCAATTGCACAGTGCTGAAAGCACAAACAGAGGCCCTCATGAAATTACACTGCAATCCATCACTTTGGCAGGCAGACTTTCTGATAATAAAATACTTTCTGAAACAGGCAGTCAACTACCCTCGGTGTATTACAGAGGACATCTTACGTGAACATGACACACTGGTAACTTTTAACCACTGCTCATGTGAGCTAATAAGTTTTTATACATCTCAGTTATCATTTTTTTTACTGCACTACAAGGGGCTGCCGAGGACTGCCATAATTATTGCTTGCATGGTCTTGTTATTCTGTTATTCTAATATTTTAATTCGATTTCCATTATACCTATGTCAGGTATTGCTGTCAGTCGGACAGGGAAGCCTTTAGAGTTGATATTTTCTTTATGTGTCCATGTGGGGTTTCTCCTGGTGCTCTGTTCTCAGCAGCAGCAGCCTTAGCTTTCCCAGGAGGTCTCCCATCCAGGTACTGACCAGGCTCACACCAGCTGAGCTTCAGTGGGCTGCCAGTGGTGAGTTGCAGGGTGATATGGGTGCTGGCATATAAACATTCCAAGTGTAAATCACCAGAGTAATTCTGTTTATGTATTGTGTGGATCCTACTCAACTGAGGGGAACAGTCATAAAAGGAGGAATAAACTCTTTATGTTTCTCTAAGAGAATGGTTGAGATAGCACTTAGTGTATTGTATACAGTTTTACAGTGAAATGAGCAGGGCAGCTAGTAACATCATCCATGTGCAATAGCTATAGGTGTTTCTGGACTTTCTGCTTGCTTGTAGGCTACTGGTCACATGATCGTCATCTTTAATGCTTGCTTGAAATCCTGGCACGAGTGTGGGTGGTGTGTGTGCGTGTGTTTCCATAGTGCATGCAGAATTAATTGTTAGTTTCATTATACTATGCACAGTATTTGAGTATTTTTCCTCGTTTTCACACTGATACACCGATCACACTGATAAAGGATTGTTTAACCCTTTAATCAACAATGCAAATTACCCACTACTATTTCTAGAATAGGCCATTTCCAAAATACCTATTTAGGTCTTGACTAATGGGTAAAAGTTATAATGGTACTACTGTGCTGATAAGAGTATTATAGTATTAAAAAAGTAGTATTACCATATATTATATTACATTCAAGTCCTACACATTTCTTAACTCTTCCAACTCTCTATTCAAGACAAATTCAGACTTTGTATCATGATTACCCATAGACACAAGTATAAACAGCCACTGCTGCCCCACAACAGATACACAAGCAAGTAGCTTTTCTGCTTTCACACAGAGTTAAAGCTCAAGTCCAGAGGCTATGACACGCATTAATAACCATTAACCCCTGCACTGCGCGCCACACACATACCCACACACACAAACGCAAGCCTAAAGCCCTGCCAAGCTCTGTGTGCGGAGCCGTGCACCTCACCTGTCAGGAATGTCATGATTCCCAGCAGCCCCCAGCAGTCCCAGCGCCGCGCTCCCCACTGCCGTAGCCCCGCTGCCTGGCTCCATGTTGTCGACTCACTGCAGGAGCAGCCTGTCACAGGGAGCGGGAGAAGGAGAGAGAGGGAGAAGGAGAGAGAGAGGAGAGAGAGGATAAGGCTGCAGTTAGCAACAGATCTCAAAAGCACGGTGAAGAAGCACATCTCTCTGAACACACTAACCCTTTCCCTGCTGATCCCAACTTTGAGGCAATGCTCACTTCATCTCTTAACGTCCCTGCTGTGCAAGTCCACTGATAAGCATGGTTAACATGGTGATAAGGAAACATTTCTTTCACAGCTGCAGGGAAACCTAACTTCCATCCTTACCAACCACTTTTTTGGCAAAAGCAGGTCTCTTTCGCTCTACAAAGATATTTAATCTGTTGTAATACAACGTGTGTCAATAAAACTGTTTTGATCGTTTTATTCAGCATCATTGTTTAACATATTCAATACTTAAGATATTAAAATCAATACTCTTTCAACGTCATACCTTCACCTTCACAATGTGCAAGTCTGAGGATAACTCTTTTCAAGGCAAACAAGAAATGTTTTTCTTAGGCTTAGTTTTACTGTGCAGATTGCTTTTTGCTTTGCATGCATGTGATTGCATTTCCACAAAATGCCATCAGAGGTATATAAAAAAGCATTGTCTTTAATGCTGCATCAATGCAAGTTTATCTTTAAGGGCATTTAAGGGCATTTAAGGAGCCAGTGAACAGTGCTGGATGTGGCAGATGGAGATATCACCCATGCTTGTGATCCTCCACGTCACTGAACTGTCGCTGCGCCATTGAGAGGGGTCACACAGTTAACCAAAATGGGTCTCAAAGGCCTAATTAAACACAAGGTCATTACTAACTAAACATCTGGAGTCTTGCCATCGAGAAGACAGCTACAGTACAGAAGATCTCAGTCCAGCCATGCTCCTCCCCATTAGCCCAGACACTGGCCAGACATCTCCTGTCTGATTAACAGCTGGGAGCTTTTTGTTCTGTGATGCAAAGTTTGCCCCACTTTTTCAAGATGAACAGCAAGCAGGTAATGCATTAGAATGCCAAATTTAATGCAGGGCTCAGGAAGGGAAGAGGAGGGCAAGGGTATGTAGCTTTGGGACTGGTTGAGCTGCTATTAAGCTAGATTTTATACCTATCATAATGAAAGGCTCAATCTTACTGGTGAAATAACAAAAGATGAAAAAGAATGGAAATTTGATATAGCCTGAACAGATTTTGCTTTTAAAGCATCTCAGGTACCAATGCTGTATATATTGTAATGCACCGCCGAATTACTTATGTAACTAGACTTATAGAAGCATATTTAAGAAGGACAAGGAAACAAGAGTCACACCACGAAAGATCTAAACCAATGCCCTGGGGTATAAGAGATTCAATTACTCAAGCAGTCAAGGCAAGAGACTAATGAAAGAATAAAGGTTACACCATGCTCCATCAATTTAAAACAAAAGCAACATACACACACACCAAGAAAAATCAGCATTCTTTTGATTATGAAGCCGAATGTCACCGCTGAGCAGTTTGGCTCTTCTCTCTTAATGCAGAGCAATGAAATGAAAGGAAAGCAGCCAGGAAACAGCAGGGGGCGAGAAACGCCCACAGAGACATCTCAGAGCTGCCACTCTTAAATGGGATGAGAAGCAGGGAGGACTGATTTCATATTTCTGCTCCTAGCCAGCACCCCGGAAAGAACAGGCTGCAACCTGAGGTAGTGCATTCCTGTGCCAGCCCTATCTGAGGGCCTCTCACAGCAATCAGCTCCATCGTGAACTCAATACGCACAACCTGTGACATCGGCAGGAAGGGCACAGCCTGATGGGAAATCAGTTTCGACAGGGTATCTCAAACTTTGGGGCAGGTGATCATTTCGACTTGGTGGCATCACAGTTCTCCTCTTAAAAAGAAAAAGTTAAAATTTCACTCCTCATGTTCTTGATGTTTCTTTTGAACACATTATTCGTCTATATTATTGTATACTTCCTAGTCATCTTGTGACAAACTGTCTTAATAAAACACACCACTTTGCAAGGGCTAGAAATAGCGACTTTAGCTTCCAAATAACAAAATGTAATGCTATTTTATTTTGCTTTGAATTTTGTCTGCCTGTTATCAGAATGACAATGTTACTTAATTTCTTTCATCACGCATGAGTTTCACATTGCAATTGAACACTATTGACTGTATCTGTCCTGCTTCCTGACTGCTCTGTCAGAAGGCAAGAAGAGTATACAGTAAAACAACTTTAAAATTAAATATTAATATTCAAGAGTACAGTATGTACAAGTCACTTGTTTGTACTGTAATTATCAACAGGCAGCACCCTACAATATTTTTAGAAAATGTTCAAATGTATTTAAATGTATCTGTCACTGACAAAAGTGGCAAAAGTTGACTAAGCAGCTTCTGCTGTCAGAAAACGATCTCGAACAGAGTCATAGATTTATAATCAGAAAAGAAACTGCTTGAAGCCAGTTCAATGGAAATAAATAAAATACCAAGAAAATAACTTCAAAAGTGGTACACAGATGATACTCAATATTTTTTCCCTTTAAAAAGTGTTATGAAAGACCATGCTATTAACAGATATGAGGAAGTAAACTTATTTGAAAGCAAAACAACTGTCATCTTTTTTTCCTTCCCTAAAGGCAACTTCAGAAACCCAGTGTCAGTTCAAATGAGTGACATCACCGCCAAACAATGAACTGTGAAGTTACAATCTGCTCTATTTGGACACCTGCGTGGCATACAAGCCAAATCTCTCCGAATTTAACTAGAGAGCTGTTGAACAAACAAGCTACTATTTCTTTAAAGATGTTCAACAAAAAATTACCAACTACTTCGTAGGAAAAGAAGTTGGTCATGCACTTTTATATGGAAATTCAGCCTCTTTCCAACGGTTTTATCCAATCCAGGGTTGCAAGCAATGGACGCAATACCTTGCACAGCTCGGGATACACCCTAAACATGTCCCCAGGCCATTGCAGGTAAAACACAAACACACTCACACCAGGGCTGAATAACCTACCAGTACGTCTATGGACTGGGAGGAAACCAGAGCGTCTAGCAAAACCCCACATGAACACGGGGAGAACATGCAAACTCCACGCAGACAGCACCTCAGGAATTGATTGCAGGGCCCCAGCACTGCCCCGTGTTTATACATATGACACGAAAACAAACACAGTGAACAAACACAGAAATACAAAGATTTGTCCTGTTTTTGTCACCTGTTTCATGCATTCAGCAACTGAACAAACCAGTAAACATAAACTGTTGCTAAAATTATTTTAAAAATAATAAACTCTTGTAATAATTTATAAATAATAATAAAATTATAATTCAAGGGATTAGCTCCCTTAAATAAACACCTTAAATAAAAGTGTATTGCATAAAGTAGACAGGCATTATTCATATTTTTCATTAATTTCATCAATCCAGAGAAAACTAACAAGGCAATGAGTGTGTAGCACTTGAAAGAGCATGTTGAATGCGCTGTATAAATCTTTGTCTATACGTGATGTTTGAGGCAGGAGCTGTCAGCAGTGCGAAGGAACAAATAATAATCATCATCCTTACACTTCTGTAGAGCTTTTCAGAATGTTGCGCTGGCAGCCAGAATGCACCAGTATGCCCATCACACACCAACTATCAGTGGGGAGGAGAGCAGAGTGATGAAGCCAGTTCAGAAATGGGGATTATTAGGAGGTCGTGATTGGTAAAGACCAAGAGGGGAATATTTCACCAGGACACTAGGGTAACAACCCTTTTTTCTGTCACTAAACTGGGGCATTAGGACCCACGCAGAATGCAAGGTGAGCTACCCCTACTGGCCCCTCTAATACCTCCCAACCAGGTACTGGCCAGGCTCACACCTGCTGAACTTCAGGGGGTTAGAGGTGAGCTGCAAGAGTGATATTGCTGCTGGCCAGAATGTGGAGGCATGAAGGCTGACTCCATGGTAGTGGAAAGTACAATCTGAAAAAATGCAGAAACAGAAACAAAAGAAGAAATAACACAATGTTTCTGTCACCGAGCTGTTCTCAGGGATTTCCAGCTCTTTCTCATCGGACACACGTTCTCACCCGCAGGCAGGACCCACTGTCACCTTCACTTTACTTGGTTTTCTTTATCTACCCCCTTTGCTTCATATTTCTACCCCCCCCCCCCTACAAGCGGAATCTCCTCTATAGATTCTAACATCCCTGAGACATCCACACTGCTCTGCATTTTCTCTTCTGTGTCTCAGGAACACTCTTTAATTAAAATCGAGGTATTTGGTGCAGAAAACGACACCACAGCAACAATCAACAAAGAAATGTTTTGTTCTCCTCTTTTTACACATCGGTCTGGGTGCCAAGAACATATCAGATTGAGATTCACGTGAAAACCTGATGCAGCACAATTCCGTGGGCTGGCTTACCCCTGGAGAAACACTGATAAGCCTTTGAGAAGGCTGAATTAACCTTGCGAAAGGATACCGTATCTGATGAATCCACAAATAATTTAATGAACTTAAAAAAATGCACTCATGTAGTAATGTCATATAGTGAATTCTCTAAAAGGAGCAATTGAATGCTTAAGAGTCTAATGAATAACGATTGGGATAAAAGCTCAAATATTTAGTAAAATAAATGAAGAGGTCCACATCATATTCCACTAGACTGGCACGGTCTTGTGAATGCTCATCTTTCTTCTTAATTCATTTTCTGCTTTTGAACATTATGCAATTAAATGCATTCAAACCAAACACTATTTCTGCTTCACAAAGTTGACCTTTTCACCCTGCACAAATTAAATCTGTATCAAGAGACTATGGGGACAGTGTTTCAGACATACAGCACTTTGTAATTCCTGTATCTGCCTCACAATTCCTTCTTCAATTCAGTATTTCTATGGCTTATATAACCACATTACAAAACAGATATTGCTGTTCTGTAGAGAGAAGGGTGAAAGATACAGTCTCAGGCTTACAGGAGAGTCCTATTCTGATTGACTGAAAGAACTGAATCTTTACAATGTTGAACAGAGAACACCAA